AGCAATTTTTAACAAAGTTATGAATGTTCGAAAAAATTCTCCTCACCACTTCTCGCCGCTGTATATGATTAATCAGTTCTGGTGATTGATATCAATTTTTAATCAAATAGATTTTGCGCTCTAATCAACTCGACCCCCTCAATCCCACTTTCAGCAACATGTATATCTTACCTTCCAGCACATAAAGAATATGTAGATGGCGCGGCTGGTCCAATCGATGACTGTGATGTGGTCCAACTGCTGACTTGGCGTGGAAGCGTGAATTATCATAATGAACATAATGAATTACATTCCTCTGAAATCATAATTAATTAATTACGTGGACTGCAAGCATGAAGAAAAGGACGAGAGAAAAGTTGGAGCCAAAATGAGATGGCTCGCAGGCCTATGTGTGTGTGTGTGTGCTTTTCTACTTCTGTCATGGAGAGCTTGTCGCCTCCACGGCTACTGCTTGGAAAATGAAATGCGAAACTGGCAGGAGAGGGGGGGAGGCGTCAACAGACTTCTTTTCCGAACTGAGAAGAGTCCTTTCCAAAACAAAGGGTTTTTGGATCTGTGAAAAGATGGAAATGACTCCAGGAAAACCTAAAGACGCGTTCGGTGAGTCGAAGCCAATATTTTTTATGGAGGCCGCCGCCAAGAGAACGAAGAAAAAAGCGTCGTGTGTGGAAAAATAGGTCGTATCGAATGGCGAATCTCCGATTTGAAATGAGCCTTCGCCTTGCTCGGCTCACTTCCTGTTTCTTAGCGACATGTTAAATACATGCTGGAAAAAAGAAAGAAAAGGAAGAAGAAGAAGAGGATGAGGTTGGAAGTAAATAGGACAGGAGACGAGGCGGGCCTATAATTTTTAGTCCCCCGCTCCTAGCCTCCGTTTGGCGACAGAAAAGGCCAACTGACAGAAAAGACGAAAACACGCCTCGCTTTTATGGGGGCCATAGTGCGGGCTGTCGCGGCTCCTCCCCCATTCGTTCGCGATTTGCATATTCGCGGTCCGGCCCCCTAAATGTCTCTGGTGCCAACGCGAATCGGGTGTTAGTCGATTCAAAAAAAAAAGAGGCGGAGAGAGGAAAGGTAGAGAGAAAAAGGAACAGAAAAAAAAAACGAACAAAGATGGTGTTATTGGGGGCAGGTAACTTCTCAAATGTGTCTGTTCAAAAAAATCGTACAGCTACAGTATCCTTCGGTTTGTCAGGATAGGTACATGTGGGTGGAGGAGGAATTCTCCTTTTCTTGGAGAATGGGGTGATTCGAAATGGACTGTTGCCGAGAAGGTGATACGGTAAGTTTACTTTTTTTGTTAGCATCATGAAAAAACTGGTTTCTTCTGAAAATAGGGCTGTCAAGATGGACACGGAAAGTTTGAGGAATTCGAAAAGAAAATTTGAAGTGAAGGAAAAAGAAGGTATACGGTAGTGAAGATTTGATGATAGGGAACGAAAGAAGTCATCACTTTTTTTCCTTTTTCTGATGAAAATTATTAGTTTTTCTATTGATTTTTCTGGTACACGTTCCACTCACATTCGATATCAGAGTTCTTTTTGAAAGCACATTGATATGCTCACTGTTATCAATTAATCTTGCCTAGACTATTTGGAAAGTTTTGAAAAAAACTCTGAAAAAAAACATGCATGAGAAATTTAACACTCTCACAAGTAATTAAGTCAAGTGCGCCTTTTGATTTTTGGTTCTTTGGTCAAATTGATCAGCCATCCTGGAAAAAATTTCGATTCGATACCCCTGCCGGAAAAAAAAAACCAATTCCCTCACAAAGAACATTAGTTCGATTCCAATTTTAGTCAACTAGTTTTTTTTTGTTGATGGACTCGTTTTTTCTCTCGTCGCCCTTCTCATTTTCCATTGTCGGGAGGTCTTTTCATCTTCTCTCCTTTTCCGGGTATTGAACACCCTTTGTGGAGAGTGCGGTGGTTTCGAAAGTTTTAGTTATACATCCACGAATTGTTCTTCTTCCCTTTTGCAATAGCTATAAAACACGGAAAAGGGCTTCGGCCGCAGCAGCGTTGTCTTCCGTACGGGGTGGTGGAGAGGAACCGAGAAAAAGCACTTGAAGGAATAATTCATGGGTTTTATATAAGAAAATGGGAGAGAAATGGAGTGAAAAAAGAATGTTCGCCATTCCAAGCTTCTTCTTCTTCACGTTTTTTTCTCCACAATTGGTGTCATTTTAAAATGAGGAAAGATGGGTGGTGACGAATGAATTGCTCAGAAACAAACGGTTCACATAGTCAAGATCCGATGTTCCATGTCTACAGTATCCACCACTCTTCTTGATTCTTTTCGTGAACTATGTTCCCTTTGTATCTAACCGAAGCATTCAAATTCAAAATTCCGTGCGCTCCTGTTCCAGTCACAAGGTTACACCGGATTATACAAAGTGCAATTTTTTATACTAAAAATCGTGAAGTCAAAGGGTGCGGCACGCGTCGCTCAAGATACCAGGCACCAAATACAAAATGTTCGAAAAAACCTCAAAAGATCACAGATTGGAAAAGAGCAAAATCGCTGAAAAATCAGAAAACACTAATGCTCAACAAGATTGTCGCAATTTTCAAAAATTCGAAAAATCATACTTTCGAAATTCGAAAGACCATCAAAAAACACTTGGTGCGTGTCGGAGTGCATTTCAAACATTTTGAAAATTGGAAACCCATCTGTCTCCCACACATCAGGAAAATTTGGGTGCCCACCCCGGAAAAATTTGAATGTGCGTCCCCTTCCGATGTTTTTTGATTCTTCTCTTTTTTTGCGACAGACAGATTTGGCCACCTGGTGTGCCCATGGGGGTCTTTTCCCGATTTTTCCACAGAACTGTCATTTTGCCCTTCTAGGGGAAAATATATCTATACCCCATTCGCACGTTACGCCATACACCTCGTTCCGTCCCCGGTCCGTCCGGCCTTTCACAGGTTGACAAGGCTAATGTTCTTTGTGTGCGGCCCCCGGAGAGAAACGGTGTCTGGCGCGAGGCACATGGAGGTCTTTTTGAAGGGTACTACACTTCAGTCGGTTCATCGCAGAAAAAGGAGAAACGCATCACACACTAATTTGGTCGTTCGCTTTTTTGTTCTTCTCTTTTTCTCTGTTGTCCATTCATCTCTAGGTTTAATTGCTCGCCAAGGTAACAGATCCCCATTATTTTTTTTGAAAGCATCTTCGGTCGTCTGGCCTTTAAAATGGACTAAGGAAGAAAAATAGTGCAGCAAATGTCAGAAAACGTTGAAGGATCGATACTGGATGAAATTTCAAAGCGGATTCACAAAATTCTGAATCTTTCTTTTCATCCTGGAACGCCGTAACCAGCATGAAACTTGATGTTGTGTATTAGATAACTCATCACTTTTGGCAAATTTCTCAAATTTTTCATTATTTGAAATCAACATTCTTCCAATATTCTAGAAATATTGAATTTAGAAAATCCATACGCAGGAAAACGAAAATTGCTCACACCCACAAAAATTATTGAAATCAACGTTTATTTGATAATCAGAAAAATTTGAAATTCTCGATGTCATGCATAATTGAATTTGGGGTAACTGAAAAATATCGAAACTGAAAAATACAAAAACTATTTCATGCTTCTGAGGATATATATTTAACAATTCTAACAATGCTAGAATTCGAAATTAACAATTTTAAAATAATAGGACCTGAAAAACTATCAACCAAAAACGTGAAATATATAAGTATCTAAGACTGTCAAACTAGACTACCACAAATGTTCCAGCAGAAGCCCACCGTACTACTTTGAAATCAATAATGTTGACTCATTCAACAGACACCAAAAATTTACCAACTAATAAATTATTCATCCCAATATTACCAATATTTCATCACTTGGCAAATTTTTTATCTTTCATAGGAACTGACAAGGGAACCACAACACCTCGTCAATTCAGATTTTGATGAAAACTTCAGGATAGGTTAAGAATAGCCTATTTAGACACCCCTTAAATTTTTAGAACACGCTCGCCAGTTTCAGCCGAGTTATTTCAGTTCAAAGTTTTAGTACCGAATTCGTTGATTTGCGTGCTTTACCACACGTTCCCTCTCCAAATTCCCTACGAAGTTAGTCCAGATATCGCCTAACATCTAAACGCATTTTAAACATAGTGAAAATGTCGGCGGGGTGGTGTCGGGGATGTGTGCTGGCGCCAGTGGGCACGGTGCGCAAGTTCGTTCCCTCTTGTGGTTTTTTCTTTTGTTTTTCTTTTTTCCTGATTTTGCGACGTTATTGGATCCTTTTGGTGCAAGTTCTAAGTTTTTATTGATTCTAGAGAGTAGTGAAAGAATTTAGAAAATGTTTCTTGTAAAGTTTCGAAAAATTTTTTTAAGTCCTCAATCACTGGAATTCAGCAGTTTTGAAGCGTTGTTTTGGGGTCTATACGGACCATGATCGCTAAATGGAAAGTATGCAATCAAGAGAAAGGTTATATATTTGTTGTATCATGAAAAAAAGTTTGTAAAAATATCCCACCCAAAAATGAGAAAAAATATCAAATTTTTTCAAAATTTTTTTTTGAAAAATTGCCTGAAATATGGAATTTCATTGAATTCTAAGTTTTACACAGCAAACTTCATATTCTGAAACCTCCTGGGAACAGAGAAAATTGACTTTGAAAATTGCTATTTTTGCACTGGAAATGCGATTTTTGGTACTGAAACTGGTGTAACTCAACTGAAACTGGCGAGCGTTTTAAAAAAATTTCAGAGGTGTCTAGATAGGCTATCCTTTACCTATCCTGAATTTTTCATCAAAATCTGAATTTGCGAGGTGTTGTGGTTCCCTTGTGAGATAAATGAGCTCGAAGTGCACATATAGAGCGAGATTTTATTAAGGAGATTTTGGACATCTTCACTGAAACGAGGCGAAGTGGGTATATGTTGACAGTCGTTAGTTTCTTCAGATTACGGGATTTGCGGTTTTCGAATATTTTGAAATAATCCTAAAAGCTGAACCACGTGGAACAGTTTTGGAAGTGTAGTAGATAAAGATTATATTCAACTTTCAGAAACTTCTGGATAAATTTTAAGCACACCGAGATGAATATTGCCATATTTGTATCATCGGGAAAGTAGAATAAATCAAAAAACCAAAGTTTGGGCTGATATTCAGATTTCCGAACATGGAAAAAACTTAACTTTCCCAGAAAGGCTTCTCTAGGTACCGTAATAAAAATTGCTCCGAAATTCCAATAGAAACCATCGCCGTATGATCAAAAACCAATTCTCGACTAGCCGACAATTACACCCATAATTTCTTACTGTAAATTTTATCAAGTTCATACATCTAACCCATTCTGCTGTGACCGTCGGTTTGGAATTGAAAAAAAACCAAACTGGTCCAAGTTTTATCGCATCATCTAACGGCAAAAACTAATTACTTTTTGGTATATGTCACAAGAAACAGCCCGAAATTTTTCTCTCTTCCTTCTCTCTCCAAATAAAAAGTATATATTCGATTTGTGATTTATTAGTTCACATAAAAAGCTGTAATTTATAGTCCTTCATGACTTTTCTGACGTGCTGGGTGTGTTTCCATACAAACACTACACAAACGAATCAGCAAGATGAAAAACGGGCAAGCGGCTAAGATGATGCCCTTTTCGCTTTATCAACTTCTCGGAAAACAATGGATTATATTCATAGAATGATGGTCACAGAGGGAATACTTGATGGCGGCGGGAAAACGAAAGGCAGCGGGTCTTGAAATGATATGAAGGGATTTAGGAAGAGAGTGGCGCGTATGGATCCCGCTTTCACTCATTCTCCTGGACGAGAAAAGCAACTTTCGTTTTGCCTCTTCCCGGTTTTTCACATTCATTTAGGTCACCTTATCTCTCGAATTAGTCGTCTATTTCATTAGCCGATAGGTGATTATTCGGTGTCCCCCCATTGGTCCATGCTGCTTAATAAAACGAATTTCATATTGGCACTAGCCATTCTTGGCAGCAGCTATGCCAAGGAAGAAGAGAAAACACCCGGAGAAGAGAGTAAGTTTTATAATCCACATTTCGAATTTCATCCCCACCATTTGCCAATCAAGCACATCTGCTCATCCAATTTCAGTGATTGATCGTTTAGCAGTGAACATGGCAGGTGCATTCGTCAAGAGTATGTTCCCGGAGATGGATCGTAAACCGACCGAAGCCCCAACGCCAGCTCCAGCTGCGCCGTCTCCATCTTCGGAAATTCGAAGGGCTCCTATCAATCCATTGATCTCTTCACTCGAAGGCTATTCACGTACGTTCTTCTCCACATTTTCAAGGACGCACTTGTTCTTCAGAACGGCCCGAAAAAAACTAAGAAGATGAATGAGACCACCCCTAAGAAAACCACCTAGTCGGGCAACTAGTCGGGGGAGTGAATGATTCAAAAAATAGATAGTAGTAATTGATGGTGTAATTTTGAACAAAAAGTCTATAACGAATTGTATTCTTTTAGGAATTTTTGGGGGTCTGAAAAATGTGAATCAAAAAAAATTCCAGCTCAATTCGCTGCATCTGAATACAATGCCATGCCACAACTTTCCCAAGCATCTGATACTCCAAGAAACCCATTCAGCTATCAAGCCAACCAACCATCAACCTACTCGGTTATGCCAGAGATGTCTCAAAATAAAATCGGTCAATCCACGGCTTCAGGCATGGAGAGTTTGGGAGCTCTTGCATTAAGCGGAATGAGAAATCCAGATATCTCTGGAATGCTGTCCGGAGGTGGTGGCACACCAGAAGCTATTAATGCAGTTAGAAACCAAGCGTATCTAGCAGAACTTTCCAAACATCAATCTGAACTTAATGCCTATAGTGCTAAGCAAATGGAATACCTGGACCAACAAAGAAGATACCAACAGGCTATGATTGACCATCAAGCTGGAGCAGCGGTATCTAAGAATTATTCGAAAATTTGGGTATTTTACATTTTTCCAGCTTCTTATGCAAAAACAACAACAGGAAATTATTGCCAAGCAAATGCAGAACATGAAGCAATCCTATGGAGTTGGAGAAAACGCTCCAGGAGAATCCAAGGATTTTGAGGAAAATGATAATACTGTAGGAGGCAGGGTAAACATCTCATCCTCTTATTTCTCCCGATTTACGATTATTACAGTATCTCACCGCGCGGGCCAGAGGAGCGAAAACGATGAAAGTGCCGACAAACAGAAGTTTGTCTTAGGCTTACGACCAGTAGCATAAAACTGACCATTTGCAGAGTTGGAGGACGACGATGTGATTGCCAATGACGAATATTTGAAGGAATATTTCAAGCAAAAGTACAATATTGATATTCCAGATGATGTCAGTCAACTTACAGCAGATGAGAAAGCCACGCTGAGGTTTTGTAGTACTTAATCTTATGATGATGATTCATTAAAAAAATTATAGAGCTTTGAAACGCGAATTGTCCCGTCAACAGGACAAAGTGAAAGAGAATGGAGTTTTCAAAACTATGGATAGTTTGAAGGGGTAAGCTAAACTTTCAACAATTACTCTGAAAAATTTCGGATTCGTTTTTTTTTTCAGAAAAATGATCAATGAGAGAGCATCTCCATCAAAAAGCACAACTCCATCTGAGGCTTGCGATCAGTGCATGCCAATGAACCTGAAAATGGTCAGAGGCGCTTGGACCCAGGTATGAAGACATGCTGGACCTCCATGTAAACATTGATTCTAGATCTATGGAAATCCAAAAGTCGTCAACAAAGTCTTTGGAACAGTCATGAGCCTGGAAAACATGAAATCGTCAACTGGCAGTATCAAAATGACCAACAAGAAAACCGCATGCGTTGGAATGGAAGTGGGAGCAGCCAGTAGTCATCGAAAATCGTCTAAGATGAACTTGTTCTTCCGCGATTCTGACGAAGGAAACGAGCTTCATGAGGTACAGGTGTAGCTTAGACATGTATAAAAACTCGATATTCTAGATGCGAGGAACAGTCACTGTCAAGGATAATATCATGAGTGTGGAAACCAATCTCTACCGTACCCATAGTAAGTTGGTCAGGTGGAAAATGTGTATCTCTATGAAAAACTACATTTTTCTTAATCTGAGCTACTTACAGTGTGTCTTGTCAAAGCCGGTCCATCGGAATCTGATAAGTTTGAATATGTGATTCTATCGGAAACAACTGGCAAATACGCTTGCAAGTGAGTATTTTCGGATCATGCAAAAAAGTTTATGTGTCCTTTCAGATCGTATCATGTATTCGTCAGGAATACGGACGAGTTCAATCGTCGACATTTTGACGATGTGTCCGAGTTTATGAGATCGGTAAGAAGACACACATAGATCAACATCAAAAATAAATTTTTTAGCAAGCTGACGCCATGCCTTTGGGTGCTCTCCCAAAATCATCTCTCTGTGAATTGGACAGCCCATAAATCAAATACTTCCCCTTAAAAAGCAAATCTCATGGACCAATAGAAAAGTGTTGAAGTCATTTATATGTATCAAATAATAATTGCTGTTTAATAAAATAAATGTGAAGAAAATATATAGAAACAAATAAATTATGAAGTTGGTATTTTTAATGATACACACGTCGTAACATACACGTCAAAATGTGACCTACTGGTAAGTCAGTTTCAGGAATTCAGAAGTCTTGTGAATAAATTTTGGTTTTGGTTAGTCACAATGAAGAGAATTGATCCTCGATGGGTGGAGGTGCGAGTCGCATATCACTATTCCGTCTAGCAATTACTCGATCCGTTGAGAGGTGTCCATCATCTATTGTTACCTGAAATGAATATTTTTGAGTGTGCATTCGCAGAAAATTAATTTTTAAAGTCAAGTGTAACAGTTAATACTGAACATGTGCGAAGATTCTTTTCCATGTCACTTGCTACAATGAACAAATTTAAATTTTTCGTTTATCTAATCAATTTTTGTATTGCCAAAAATGTGTTTGAACACATTTAGTTTTTTCATCAAAGTTTTTGTTCAAAAAAAACGAGAACTTTTTAGAAGTTTGCAGAAATTGATGAGAACTGAGATTTTGCCTTTGAAGCAATTTTTTAAAATTTCGCACACTATTTCGGATTTTTGTCAATGAGGATTCATATAATATTTTAATAAGTTAACAGCAATAAAAACTTTCAGTTAAAACCCCTCTGCATAAAATGGAGAAATTCCGTTTTCCAAGTTGAACACAATACCTTTGGAATGGTGGTTAAATTTTCTGTTGGATTTGTTTCAAAACAATCCGGACGACCCATATCTCCCGAAGCGTGATCCTCGCTTATTATGGAACTGCAAAAATTAATAATCTTCAAATACTTTCTCAATTACTTACCTGGCATCGGCTGTACATTCACTGTGTTCACTCATTGGTTGATGACTATTTTCAGAGTCAATACTTGGTCTTCTATTCGTAATGATTCCCCCTTCTAGTCGATAATTTTCATTTCCATTGCTGTCATGTTTGATCACATTGAAACTGAAATCTTCAATTTTTGATTTTCACGGCTTTTTAGATTACTTACATTGGCCCCCCTGACTTTTGACTCGTTTCTATTGGATAGATTTGAGCTGATTTGGAACGGCTTCTTAGATATTTGATAATGAAGAAAACGAAGAAAATCACAATCATAGCAGTGACGATGACACATACAGTGATTATCACATACATCCATCTGGAAGAAATGAATTAAAAACAAAATGTGCTTTAGAAGATTCTCACGATGGAATAACAGTTTCAGTTTGATTGGATGGGCTTGAAGTATCTGAATTAGTGGTTGCATCTTCTGTGGAAACTTCTGGAGCTGCTGTAGTGGACAAATCTCTGTTAGGATCCATAATCAAGGAACTGATTTCGCCGACAATTTTGTTCAATCCTTCCATATAGTTTTTCTCAGAAAACATGTTCTTGTATTGTGCTAATGCGTTATCAAGAGTTTCTTTTGAAATGGGGAGGTCTGTTCCAGTCTGAAATTTTTCGTTAAGCCTCCTTTTCCAATAGATCCCTAAAACTTACCCAGATAAAAGTATCTTTTGCCAATTCTACTCCAACAATCAACACATAATTTTTGCAAGACATACTATCCAGATTGAATGCTTCTCTGATGCCATGTCCAAATTGAGTCTGAAAAAAGTCATTAACCAATCGATATCCTATTTAAAAATTTACCAAGTCATTAGTAGTGATACTCTGATTGCTTGCAGAATGTATCCGTTTAGCGAGAAGCATGAAAATTTGAACAGGTCCCGTGCTATTAGAGCTGCATTCGGGGCTTGCGTTTTCCGTGTACTGGATTTTGGCGTCTTCCAGTTCTGAAAAAAAACAAAAAAAAAAAACAACTGAAGACGGGCGGATTTCTTTTAACTCACTAGCCATGTGCTGCTCAATATTGTCTAATATGGTTTGTCGCCACGTGTCAGTTAAAATATGATCCGGATCACAGAGAGTTCCATCATGTGGAACGTTGCATTCAGTGGAATTGGTTCTTGGATCAGGATATGTAAGAGGTTCCCAAAGCTGAAAATTTTAAATTTTCATAAACGAGTGGAGACCGAAGATTTTCATAGTTTTTTGGAATCAGGGTATGCATTTTGGCATGACGGTGTACAGTGATTAGTGCATTTATCATTCGATTTTTGGTCATTTTCAGGAGTATGTAGTTGGGAGGTTAAGGTTTCGCTTACCTTGAGAGCTGGACAATGTGTATCAGAGCTGAAGCCATATTTATAAAAATTTTTCTTAGAAAACCATTTTCCTTTCAAAAATCGATTGGATTATGTTTCAAAACGAAAATGGAAATGTACTGAATACTATTCAAATGATTTTCCGACTTGCAAGGTCGGAAAATGACTTTTGAACTAAATTTTCTCAAAAACTATGGACTGAAAATTTCTCATATTTGGTCACAGTATTTAAAATTCCTAGCTCTATCCATTCATGTGATTTGTGTCAAAAAACATAGTTTTTAAGTTGAAGAGCGGCAATTTTTGGGTTCAAAATTATATAATAATGCACTTGATATATTCTATCAACACACAACTTTTTTAGAATCCAAAATTCATAAAATGGACTGTAAACATAAATCGAGATTAGTATACCTATTTCATGAAATATATAATGATTTTCCAAAAAAAATGATTTTCCAAAAAGAAAACGACTTTCCTTCAATTTTCTCGCCTTTTCAGTAGATTTTGGGAAAGAAAACGATTTTCCAAGGAAAATGTTCATGAATACGGCCTCTGGATTGAAAACTTTGCCTCCACACGATTTATAAATTCTTAGTTTTGCTATTTGCCAATTTCTGAGAGACACCCATTTTTGGCATCTTTTTGTACCAAATGGGTGAAGTCAGGCAATATAATCGGAAAATAAATGAAAACTAAGAATTTTCAAAAACCCTGCGATATCATTGTATTTAATCTAGTTTAGTTTGACATTCTCCAAAGTTTTCAAAGCGATCGAAACCTTGACAGCCAAGCTCCAGACTCCTGAAAATGATAAAAATGGACTAAAAAATATTTTTTTGTTTATCTTCTTGACCGGTACTGTACATCACGTGACGGTAGCCACAACATGAAATACCTTAGTACCACAAGTTAAACTTCCCGAGAAGCTTTTAGAAGATTCAAAGTCCCCCCCCCCCAGCTTCATAACCAGAAATTGGAATGATATCATAACTTCTCCTATTTTGAAAGTATACATACACGAACTCTCAAATGTTGCATTAGTCTCTCTTACCGTTCATCTCAATCTGAGAACTCGCCACTTCATAACCGATCCCTTTCTCTATCTCTTCATTTGTTTTCGAATTATCATCGAAGAGACCTAGAGCATTGACTACTTCCTTTTTGTACAAACAATTCAGAGCTAGTAATCTTTAGAAATGTGATAGCCTCCTGTTTGTACAAGTTAGATGTCTGACAACTCTTTTTTTTTCTAATCAGATTGGCAAATAGAATTTTCGAAATAATTTTCATAGCGACAGGGCTCTCAAGTGGACGATGTTTCGCTGATCGCAAGAAAACAAGTACAGCGGACGGAATGACGTGAGATATAAGAATTTGTTGGAATGAAGCTTGAGGAAAAAAAAGAATGACCAGAAAAATATCAGTTTTGGAAATTCTGAGTAGGGAATGATTTATATTTTTCTAGGGAGAAAAGTAAAAAAGCGTTACCTCTGTATCAGCTCTGAGAACTGTCCCTGACGCGATGATCAGGGAAAGTAACGATAGCATTTTCAGAGATGAGTCTGAAACAAGGATTAATAATTTCAGAGATGACGAAAATTACAATAAGAAAAACTCAAGTAAAAGCTTTAAATAAGAAACATTATCAAAGTCAAGAACTGATTAGTATATCAAAATTTGAAAAAACTTGAAAAAAGTTATGAAAGATATCGATACAAAGGGAAAGAGCAACAACTTTGTTATCATTGGAAAATAAGTCTTGGATATGGGTGAGCACGAGCCAGGCAAAATGGTAGAGTGGTCAGTGCTGTTGACCGTTTCGACCCACTTGATATTTGACTCACTTATTCCTACCTCGCTCCCTTTCGTTCTCCCTATCTTGCACCAGAGGCTTGCTGCTCCCTCCTACCTCATTTTCTCCTATCTTTAGATTGTTCCTCAATTTACGGCTCCGCCCTTCTGGCGCCCTAATATTCCCTTCCACAATCCGACAAGCCGGCGTTCGTTTTGTCTCCATGTTCTATAACAAAACTCCTCCCGCCCACCCAGAAAAAATTCTTGCTCAATTTGTAACTTTGTCTTTTGATGCAAGTGACATAAAAAGAGTGGAGGAAGCCGGTATCCGTGTATTCGCCATTTTGCCGTATACACACAGTCTCAAACGCCTTAGGCAATAAAAAAAGAGAACAGTCGCTTTTGTGCCATCCGCGGATATGCTCATGTTGCGAGCGGACAGCGGAAAGGCGAGTCTAAGTGTAACTCGAGATGTTTCATTCAAGACCGTTTCTGACTGAAACACACATACACACAGGTGGCGCGGCTCGCGTCAAACATGACCAGACTTTCATTTGCAAGCGATGAAGAGAGAATGTGTTTGGCAGGTTGAATAAGTGCTACAGTCTTCGAGCAAAGTTCAGAAAGTTGCATATTGACATGACAGAGGGGATTTTGGGCGGGGGTATGGAGGAGACAAGTGTCATTGTTGAAACAACATTGCGGATGAGTCCAGTGATTTGAATAGATAATGTATTCCAAACATAACAAAAGATAACATTAGATATTTCACAGATTAAGTTTTTTTAAAGAACAGTTCGTTTTTGCTTAAAAACTGTAATAGCTGAAACCATCAGGAAACCTCGCAAGAAGTGTGCCCTTTACATCGATCAATTTTATCTGGGTTTCTGTGAAAGATATGAAAAATGTTAAACTGACAAATGTTTTTAATATTACGATGAAGGTTTTGCCAGGTGATCACTTTTCAAAATCATTCAAATGAAACGAGAACAATTGGTTCAGTTAGAGACACTTCTCAGAGAATTTACGGTTCTCATATTGAAAAGAAAAAATTGTTTACGTGATTGAAAATTATCACTTACCACACAACACGTGATATGAGGGCTTCGCGGGTCTTCGGAATGGCGTTTTTGGAAATTCTCGGCACTTCAAAGTTTTGGAATATTTTGATTTCGAAAATTTCGGAATGTTTTGATTTAGAAAGTTTCGGAATATTCTGATTTTATGAATTGGAGTTTGGGGATTTTGGAGTCCCACTTTCTTATCACAAAAACGAGAAAAATGACTAAAATTTATTCCGAAAAACTTTTCTTCACTTCTGAAATAATGAAAAAAGATTATCTTTTAGAAACATTGACTGGCTCAAAGTGTAAAGTTACAAATACTTGTCTCACGGTAGCTACAGAAGAAACGAACTCCGAAACACGATTGCAAGTTGAGCACAAAATTCAATGGGATTAAACTATTTCAGTCAAAAAATAATTTCCTACAGGTCAGTTTCTAAAAGCTCGTAATTTTCATTCTATATCTACTTTTTTTCACTATTCATCAAGTGATTCGCTCAAGAATTACACCGTGTTTTTGATAGGAGGATATTAAGTTTCAGTTTTTCATTTGCTGCCTTTTGAACGTTGATATTTCTCCTCAAACTTCTAACACATTTTCTTTTAGGTCCATCGGTTTTTATCTGTAGTATGTGTCTTTTGAGAGAATGCTCTTAGTATAAAAATCAAATCTTCTATTCAGTAGCTATACTCAAATATATGTTTGTTAATTGGTCGGAAATTTAATTTTGAAAAAGTGCATCGAATTTTGAACGGTACATAAAATGAAGGCAGCCGTAACTGGAAAACCTTGTGACCAAACTAGTTTTTAATGATCCGATTCAATTGTTGTATCAAAACTGCCGTTTCTGGATTTTACCGAATTCAGTCCGGAATTGGCAAATCTGCGTAACATTACACTGCAATTCGAGAACAATGCAATGGCTTCTACTTCCGGATTCTTGTTCAGCTATTCAATATTACAATTGAGCTCTTTTCAGTATCCATGGTATTTAATTTAAAAGGTTGCTTGAGTTCAATTTCCAATTTTGCTCTAATCTGTAAATCATTCTTTAAAAAAAAATAGAACTAGTTAGTTTGAAAAAAAATTTAAATAGCTTTCGCATCTTCAAACACATTAATTTGTGTTTCGTACACTCGTCATAGCTCGAAAATGTTTATTTTCCCGCGTGCTTTGAGCTAACAGCTGACTAAAAACTACTCATAAGCATACTTGTAACGGGCCAGGCCGGGCTTTTTCCGGAATTTCGGGGGCCAGGCCCGGCGGGCCCGTCATTTCACTAGTTTCGAAATTTTCAAAAACACATAAGGTGATTTTTTTCGACCAAAAAATTTTTTCCGAGTTTTTCCGATCTTTTTTGATCAGACAGACAAACAATCCGAAATACGAAAAAAATGGAAAAAAATTATATTGAGAGCTCAAAATTTGGCTCAAAAATACAGAATTTTTGACACCGGGCCTTCCGGGCCGGGCCCGGGTCTTGAAAATTTCCTCAGGCCCGGCCTGGAATTTTACAAGTATGCCCATTAGAAGAAAATGCTTCTGCTTGTTTTTCAGGTTCTTACCTATTTTTCAGCTATTTTTAATTTTGAGTTCGTATAGCGATCAGCAATCTTTCGTTTTTGTTCATTCTTCATGAATCATTTTTTATTAATTGTTATTGTCTTCCTTTAAGTTTTTCATTTTGCCGTGTTGTCGTCCAGGTTTCTGCTGCTCCAAAGACAATAGCGCACAAATTTCATTGGAAAATGATTCATTCCTTTGCTGACGTCAAGATTTTTTTTTCTTCGGTTATTTCTTTTTAATTTCTCTATTTTTACCTGCCTACTGTTCAAAATTGTTTCGAAAACTACGCTTCACAAGAACAACTGGAGATCAATTACAAAAGATAGCGGCCGAGCAGGATTACAAGATTTGTAAGAGATCTCAAACATTCAAAGCCCACCACTTGATTTTTTAGAACGGGTATTTTTTTGTTGCTCTGTTTCTCTGTTCTTTTTGTACTGACTTTTTACCATTCATTTTAAAAGATAAGAGAGAAAAATTGAATGATGTGAATGATGGAATTAGTGGAGTAGGAAGAAGGAAACTGAATTTTCCGATTTAGCGAACAAACTTAACGATTACTCACGTGCACTTAAAAACAAATTTTTATAAAGTTGACTTTTGTAAACATAGTTTTTTTTGTATTTTGATTACTCCTGGATATAATAAGCTGAAAATTTTGAATACGGTTATTTTACAGTATTTTCAATTTCAAATTGTACACTTTGACCGACTGTCAGCTACACTCTGATATTTTCTCAATAACTCAAACTCATTTCCGACCACCGACAAATTTTACACCTTCAACGAAACAAACCAGTGTGGACGACTTGAAACCCAATGGTTTTATCAGAGTTCATGGCAAGTACTCAGAGAAGTTAGGCTTAACATGCATCACTTCTTTTCCTCCGAACGTTATCAGTTTCTTTTCCTGACCAGACCCTTGCCGCCGTCAACGTCACCGCGTTTTGAAAATACTCAAAGAAGAAATAGAGGCAATTTTTTATTACTTAAAAATAATAAAACGGCTGTTGCAGTGGAGGTTTCGATGTGAATTACCTCACAACACACGATGAGATTGTCTTTTGAATGTTTTGTATGACGGTGAACATGTGATGGTAGAAATAAGAAATAACTTTTGAAACATCCAAATAAACATTTTTTTCAAACGAGTTTTCAAGTTTACCCCAAATTCTGGAAGAATTCGTGCTTTGTAATGTGGCGAAATTCTAGCTGTAATCCTTTTTTAGAAAATGAAATACATAGTGTTTAGGAAAAACAATAGATAATGATAACAGCTGTGAGGGTATTCCTTGAACAGGAAATCTTATTTGCCAAACAAGAAAATTTATGATAATATACAGAAAAAAGACAAAAAAAATGGTAATCAGGCCATTAGCTTATTATAGCAAAAAATCTAAAAACAGTCCGTTTGAGATGGATTTTTGAATATTGTTTTGAATTACCAATTATATACTTTTCATTATGTACTGTATTAGCCTGTACTTGCACCTCGATTTCAATTTTTCCAGATTCTCTATAATATATCAAAAATCAACAAACTGTCCAAGTGTTGGTGATATTATGTCAAACATTTTATCAGTAGAGGGATTTTTTGTATTTTTTATAGGAACAGAGACAATTACGGTCAGACTGTAGGTATAGCTTGAAGTTTTTGGTGTTTAAGGATGTTGGGAACGGGATTCGGAATTCTGAAAATTCCGACCATTTTCGGAGTTGAAGTCAAATCAAACAGTTTCCGAATTTTTTTCCGGAAATTTTGATAATTTCATTAGGAAATCCAAGTTTCGAAATTTTGAAAATTGGAATATTCCGAAAGTCGGGAATTCATGAATGTTGAAAATCGGAATATACCGAAGTTCCGAAATTGTCATACTCGGAATTTTCGATATTCCGAAAAATTCCAAAAGTACCATTCCAAACATCACGGGGTTCACTCCATGTATTCAACTTTTATTGAGTTTCTGAAACTTAAATTTTTCGTAAATCTTATTTTAAAAAACCTGTTCTTTATTGAGTACTGTACGAACTCAATCATTTCTATAAAACAAAGAATTTCTAGAATTTCACCAAAGAACAAAGTGCTCTTTTTCTCTCTCGCACCTTTTCGCAAGTAGGTCATG